TTCATAAATTTTTCAAAACAGGAAAAAATATGTCTACTGTCATTTCCATTTTGCGTAAATTGGTTCAACAATTTTCCAACAAATTAACACATTTTTCACCAACGGAAATCTAGATACTCTTCCCCTCAGATATTTCCATTCTACTACTACTACTACCTATAAATATGAACTTATCTTTGTAACGTATAGCAGAAATGGAAATAAAAATAATTTCTTAAATGTATTCCGTATTCAAGGAAATAAAATAAAACAAGGCCATTTTACTCCTCTGCCCCGCCACCCAGTTATTTATTATTTGAGATTTTGTTTCAACTTTTCTTTGTTTTCCAGTTGTTCGCTATATACAAGTTCATCTGTGAAATACATAAAAGTATCTACGAAATGTATTTTTCAGACAGAAGAGCAACTCTATTTAGCACAGCTCTCAACCGACCATAATGACAATTTGTTTGTATCCGAAAACAAGTTTATGATTCGACGACCACTTTTCGGGGTTTTCTCACAGTCTTTGTGTCAGTCAGTCAGTTAAGTTTTGTGTTTCTATACCCTCCACCATTCTATGGAGGGTATATATGCTTTGTCATTCCGTTTGTAACTCCTCGAAATATTCATAGTAGATCCTACAAAGTGCATATATTCTGGATCAGTGTAAAATTCTAAGACGATCCAGCGATATCCGTCCGTCTGTCTGTTGCAATCAAGCTATGTTTCGAACGAATTGAGATAGAAGGCTAAATATTGGATACATGCATAGTTTGCCAGTAGGCAGGTTAATTTTGTAAATGGACCATGTCGGTCTACGTTTTTGTATAGCCCCCATATAGCGGACATTATTTACCGGAATTATTTCAAATTTCGTATTGGACGATCTTAATGGGTACTACACATATGGCAAAAAATCGTATGCAGGTCCACGTCTTCGTATAGCCCCCATATAACGGTACTCTCCGATATTCGGTATTGTAATGATTTTAGCGTCATTATTTACAGGAATCATTTCAAATTTCGTATTTTAAGATATTAATGCGTACTACAGCCTATGACAAACATTTTTGTATGCAGGTCCACGTCTTCGTATAGCTCCCATATTACAGTACCTCCCGATATTCGGCCTTTTCATGATTTCAGCAACAATTTTCACCGGAATCATTTCAAATTTCGTATTGGAAGATATGAAAGGGTACTACAAAATATTGAAAAAAAAAAATTCGTATGTTGATTAACGTTTTTGTATAGCCCCCATATAGCGATACCTCCCGATATTCAATATTTTAAACATTTTAGCGACATTATTTGCCTGAATTATTTCAAATGTCATATTTAATGGTTGTAATGGGTACTACAACCTATGGCATAAAAAATCGTATGCAGGTTCACATCTTCGTATATCCCCCATGTAACGGTACCTCCCGATATTCGATATTTTAATGATTTTAGCGACATTATTGACCGGAATTATTTCAAATTTCGTATTTGAATTTCGTAATGGGTACTACAGCCTATGACAAACATATTTGTATGTAGGTTCATGTTTCCATATATCCCCCATATAATGGTTTTCATTTAAGTGGCTGTATTCGGAAGTTTTTGTTTTTAAATTTTTCAAGTTCTTTCCAAATGGTGGAGGGTATTCAAAGTTCGACCCGGCCGAACTTAGCTGTTTTTTTTTTTTCTTGTTTTGTTTTAAAAAATGTTGTTATTGTTCTGGATTTTCTTATTTGCATTAAAAAGTTCTCACAAATTGAGACGACTGAAAATGCAATTGTTGTTTCCTTTTGTTTTATTGTTGTTTTTTCCTTCTCTTCCTTGAATGGGGTGTTAGAGGCACCATTACTTTGATACCTTAGGTTAAATTATGACTTGCCATAATAGTTTGAATAAATTAAATTTTTTAATATTGATGTCAGATAACGGAAGGAAATATTTACAAGAGAATAACACATATAATTTTAGGAGAAGCTTTTAAGAAATATGTTTACATTTATCGCTTACAAAGGCTAGATTACACATCATACTAGAGTCATATTCAAAGTGTATTTTTCCATATATATTTTCAGCATTTTATTTCATAACTTAAGGCAGTCCCTAATTTTTTTATAAAAACTGGTATAAATATATAGTATAAAAATGCTTGAAAATAGGTTTTTAAAAGTAAAAAAAAAAAAGTCCGGGCCGAACTTTGAATACCCTCCATCATTTGGAACGAATTTGGAAATTTTTAAAAAAATAAAATCTGTTAAAATCTTAAAAATACCGAATATAGCCGTTATATTGGGATCTATACACAGACGCGGACTTACATAGGCAACATTTGTCATAAGCCATTACAATATTCAAATACGACGCTTGAAAAAAAAATCGATGAATAATGTAGCCAAAGTCATCAAAATACCGAATATAGGGAGGTACCATTATATCGGGGCTATAAAAAATACCTGGACTTGAATAGACAATTTTCTGTCACAGGCTGTAGTACCTAATCGGAATTTCAAATACAACATGTCAAATAATTTCGGTGAATATTGTCCCTAAAATCATCAAAATACAGAATATAGGGGGTTACCGTTATGTGCGAGATATACGATCCACAATGGATCTATAAAGACAATACCCTTTCAGGAGGTAAAGTACTCAGAAGAAACTCTGTTTGTGGATTTTCGGAAAATTTCATTGAAAATTTTGACTAAAATCATCAAAATACTGCATATCGGTGGGTACCGTTATATGGGTGCTATACGTCTTGACCTGCCTGCATAACTTCCAACTAGCCCTCATGCAGACAAAAGACTGATCTGTGCAAAGTTTTAGCTTCCCATCTCAATTCGTTTTGACTCTAGCGTGATAACAGCAGAAGGAATGGCATGGCTACATCGTCTTAAAATTGTACGCCGATCAAGGATATAGGGTGAGATAAAAAAAAACTGCAACAAAATCAAACGCCATAATTTTTATATTTGTTTTTCTTAATTTTATTGAATGAAAGCAAAAAATGTCGGAAATAGCATCAAATTTTAGAATAAGTTTAGATTTGTTCGAAATGAAATGAAACCGTCACACGCTGCCTGAATTTTATTCTGCGGTATATTCCCGCCAAGTGCTTGCTTGAGGTGATCGACACTTTGTATTTTTAGTACCATCCTTGCTTTCCAAAATACTCCAGACGCAATAGTCCAACGGATTGGTATCAGGAGATTTTGGTGGTCATTTTGCGCTGTAAATGAAGCGAGGAACCTCATTTTGTAACCATTCTTGGGTGGCGAGTGCTGATTGCGATGGTGGAATGTACAAGGTCTTCGGCTAAAATGTTTTGCGTGCCCAAGGCTTTAATAGACCCTCCATACAATTTTTATTATAATAATATTCGGTATTTATTCTGATACCACCATCGATTAATACGAGCGGAGAGCGATCATCCATGGACCATGACCGGCGCTTGAGATATCGTGGCCAATCGAAGGTGCACATTTTCAGCTGACCACTTTGGCAACAAAACATGATCATTTTGTTTGTTTACAAACTGCTGGACAACGAATGTTTTGTCATCGGAGAAAACCAAATTCGGCAGTGCACCACTTTCGGCCAAGCGAAGCAACTCTTTAGCTCTTCGGAGTCTATTTTCTTTCTGTAGCGGTGTAAGTTCTTGCACTTTCTGGAATTTCAATGGCTTTACCCCGAGCTCATTTTTCAATATTTGCCGAATGAAATATTGGAAGTTCTATTTTAAAAAGAGGATATTAGCAAAATCTATTTTAAATAATGGCTATACAGGGGAATCTTTTAGAAGATCTTCTATAAACAGAATATAATATAGAATCTTTTCTCCGAACACACTTAGAAAGCAATTTCAAAATTCGGCGATTCACAAAGTACCAAAAAAAATTGATAGAAGGTCTTTAAAATACAAGAGATAGATAGAAACTTTAAACGAACAACTACGAATTTTTATACCCTTCACCATAGTATTATATTAAGTTTGTCATTCCGTTTATAACACCTCGAAATGTACATTTGAGACCCCACAAAAATATATTCTTGATCAGCATAAAATTCTATGTCGATTTAGCAATGTCCGTCCGACCGTCCATCTGTGGAAATCACTTTAGCTTCCTAACGAAATGAAGTAGGTTGATAAAATTTTACTCAAGTGTGTATTACGTCTGCAGGACTTTTGGTATTGAAAATGGGTGATGTAGGTCCACGTTTTGGTATAGCCCCCACATAATGGTACCCCCCCTTTTTGGTATTTTGGTGATTTAAGCGACATTATTCACCAGAAATGTTTCAAATTTGGTATTTTAGCGACATTATTCACCGGAATTGTTTCAAATTTGGCGTTTGAAATTCGTAATGGATGCTACGGCCTATGACAAAAAATTATCTGTGCAGGTCATCGTCTTCAAGTTGCCTACGCAGGTCCACATCGTCGTTTACGCCCTAATATAACGGTATTAGGCCCTAATTATTCGGTATTTTTAAGATTTTAACAGAATTTTTAACGAATTTTTTTTTTGAAATTTCTAAAATCTTTGCAAATGATGGAAGGTGTTCAAAGATTGCCCTGGCCGAACTTACTGCTTTTTTACTTGTTATATGTACGTGCTATTAAAACCCATTTGAACAACTTTTAAAACCCATTTAGCCTTTTATGAACATTAGTTATAATCACCCATTAAATAATTATTAATATCCCTCGTCTTAATTTGGTGATTATAACCTATTTTATTCCCTCCCATAATAAAAAGGATACCCACTCAAATTCAAAAATATATTAATCTACATATGAACACGTTTGCCCAAAAAAATTTGTTAATAATACGAATAAAGTATTATACGAACTACGTGATAATTACCGAATACCCCGAATATTAATGTATAAAAATATATTTTAATTCTCTGTTACTCTTCTCTTTCCATTTCTGCCATCATTCCACATTCGCATGGATTCCATTTATTTTGACTTAATGATTGCCACACAAACGCATGCACCCATACAACAACAGTGACGAAGTTCATACGTATTGGAATTGCGGATAAAAACGATAATCCTCCATATTTTGATAAAAGTTTATATGAAGCCGAAGTTGATGAAAATGAAGATATCCAGCATACAGTGTTAACGGTAACCGCCAAAGATCATGATGAATGTAAGTACTAGACAAAGGGAAATACGAAAAAACGAAAAAGTTTTTCATTTTTTAATAAAACACGTACTTGGTACTTCCACCCTCACCCACTAGTGAGTGGGGAAGAGGCGAGACGACCCTGTCATTTGTTTTATCCTTCATTTATCGAAAGTATACTTTACATTGAGTTCACTCATATATATTTGCATACTTTAAGGGTGATGGCTATTAAGCAAACTGCTGCCACTGCTTACCATCTACCCAGTGAGAGTGACTAAAGTCCAAAGTATACTTTTGGGATTTCACGTTTTTGTTGTTTGCTTTTACAGATATTTTATTGATGCATATTTAATTAATTTATTTTATCTTTGTTTCTGTTTTCGTTTTTTTTTTTTTCCTGAAAAGCTTCTCGCATACGTTACGAAATCACCAGCGGTAATATTGGCGGTGCATTTGCTGTAAAGAATATGACTGGCGCCATTTATGTGGCCGGAGCTTTAGATTATGAGACCAGAAGGAGGGTAAGTTAAGCGATTTTTTCGATTTAAGGGATATGTGTTAATAGCACAGTATCAAAATAAATGGAAAATAATAAACTCCTCAAGAAAACAGGAGTTATAAGAGAGTTTAAATGAAGGGACATTAATAAATAAATACCAAAATATTAAAATTTATTTCAAAAATATTTTTAATAAAAATGTATTATTAAAAATAATTATTCTTAAAATTTATTAAAATTAAAATTTATAAAATAAATTTATTCCAAAAATATTTTAAATATTTATTCATTATAAAAAATATTTATTTATTTAAAAAAAAAAACCCAAAAAAAAAATAAAAATCTTATGAAAAATTCTTAAAAAAACCTTAACCCCAACCACGCTTCCATACTTTAGTATGAGCTTCGTTTGGCCGCCTCGGATAATTTGAAGGAAAACTATACCACCGTTATTATTCACGTCAAAGATGTCAACGACAATCCACCGGTGTTTGAGAGACCAACTTATCGCACCCAAATTACCGAAGAAGATGATCGAAATCTGCCCAAACGTGTTTTACAGGTTACTAACAATTTTAAGCTTAAAAAACAGTTTTGAGTTTTTTTCTCGTTTTTTTTTTAACTTCATCTTTGAAAACATTTTGAAAAGTAGTTTGCTGAAAATTGAGTGCATGAAAAAATTATTGGAAAGAAATTTTTTTGAGTTGAATTGAGTTTTTTCTTTAAATTAAATACCATTGTTGGCACTGCTATTTGCTGCTTTATTTTTTCCCCACCACATTAGTGTACAGTGGAACCTTTCATAAAAATTTCGTATTATTATTGGTTTAATACACAATCGAAGCAGAGTTTTTCTCTTCCTCTAGCACAGTTTTCATATGAAAAATCATGTGTTTTATGATTTTGTTATTTTTTGAGACGTTCCACTGTATTCAAAAAGTGCAGTTTGTATAATGTATTTATACAATATTTTAAATATTTACCATTCTGCCATCCACGCTTTTTTTATCCTTTTTTTTAAGTATTAATATACAGGGTGAAACAAAATGGGAAAATACAAATATCGGAAATTATTTGTTTTTTTTTTTGAATCCATGGAAGTCCAAAATTTAAAAAAAATACACGATATTTTTTAATTGAATAAAAATGTCTTCAAAAATCTCAGTCAAAATTAATAGTTCGATGTATCCAAAAAATCATTAAAATTCAATACTAAAACAAAAAATAAATTACAACAAATATAAATTCTCCAAAGTATTGAAAACTTCAATAATTATTTATCTTTCCTCCGACAGAGGTTAAAAAAATATTTGTTAAACCTCAATCATGTTTATACAGGGTGAGATAAGAAAACTGCAACAAAGCCTAACGCCATAATTTTTATATTTTTTTTCTTAAATTTTATTGAATGCGAGCATAAAATGTCGGAAATAGCATCAAATTTTAGAATAAGTTTAGATTTGTTCGAATTATGGCCTTCAAACGCCCAATGAAACCGTCACACGCTGCCCGAAGGTTGCTCCGCAGTATTTTGACCCATTTCCGGCAAAGCTCTTGCTTGCGGCGGCTAAGGTGATCGACACTTTGGTATTTTTAGTGCCAACTTTTCTTTCTAAAATACTCCAGACACAAAAATCCAATGGTCATTGCGCGCTGTAAATGAAGCGAGGAACTTCATTTTGTAACCATTCTTGGGTGGCGCGGGCTGAGTGCGATGGTGCTGAGTCCTAATGGAATGTCCAAGGTCTGCGACCAAAATGTTTGCGTGCCCAAGGCTTTAATACACCCTCCAGAATATTTTCGCGATAATATTCGGCATTTATTCTAATGCCAGCAGTCTGAAGTTGGTTGCAGTTTTTTCATCTCACCCTGTACATCTAAAATCAACAAGCTCCAAGAAATCTTAGGGGGGGGGGAGTAAATTGGGTCAAGAGGGCTCCTGCGTCTAATCGCTTGAGGGTTAAATTTTCTTCTAATATAATCCTAGTATTGTTATTAATAATATTGCCAAAGACCTAAAATGTAAGGATTCCAAAAATATTTAATCTGAAAATAAATAAAAAAATCGAACAGACCCCTATTTTGGTTTCAGGTATAATATATTTGACCCAAATAATCCTCATGTTGTTATCAGTAACATTGTCGAAGCAGCTTAGCCTCCAAATAATCAACGACTATTTTTCTTTAAGTCTTTAAAACCAGTCCTTCAGAAATATTCTTTAAACAATAAAAGTTTATAGTCCTTAGAGATGGTCCTTAAAAATATTCGAAAAAATATTCCACGATTATTGGCTTGAAAATCTATTTTTATAATCTTCTGGACTTTCCCTTCATCAAATCATCGGAAAAATTTAATGTTGTGGTTCAGTCACTGACCATTTTTAAAAATCTTCAGCTTAGCCTTGAAATAAACAACAATTACTTTTATGTCAGTCTTTAAAATATTTAAAAAATTCCACTTATATAGGCTTGGTAGTCCTTCAGAAATATTATTGAAAAAATAAAAGTTTATTTTCCCTAGAAATAGTCTTTAAGAAAATATTCGGAAAAAATAATCCACTATTATTTCCTTGAAAAAATATATTCTTTGAATAATCAATGTTTATAGTCCTTAGAGGAAGTCCTTAAAAATATTCAAAGATTATTGCCTTGAAAAATATTTTTTAAAAAAATTACGGTAGAAGCTCTCATATCTCTTCAAAAAAATATGCTATGAAAAATATTCTTTGAATAATCAGTGTTTATATCCCTAGTTGTTCTTGCAAAACATTTTCTTCGGACAGATAGTGCTTAAAAATATTCAGGAAAACACGATTATTGCCTTAAAAAAATCTTTAAAAATTTAAGATAATATCTCTCATGGCTTTTCAAAAAACATTATTTGGAATAAATCCACGATTTTAACCTTGATAAACTTTAAAAAAATTGTACAAAAAATTAATATTTATTTTTCTGATTGTCTTCTAAGTTCACGATTGTAGCTTTCAAGGTCCTTGTAAAAATATCATTTTGAAAAATTCCGGATTTCCGCCTTAAATATCTCCCGCACTTTCTCGGAAAACCCTGTTTGTAATAAATATATATGCAACGTAATAGCATTTCAAATTTATTTCACAGTTGTTTCTTTTTTTATTTTATTTTATACTTTCAGTTGGTATTATATGAAAAAAGAGAAAAGAAATTTTCCCATTTTGTTTGTATATGAAATGACAATATGTCAATCATGTCATGTCTATGGCTTGGTTGGCATCAGTTTTATTTCACTGATGGTTAAAAATTGCAACAACAACTGCAAAACCAAACAAGGATTTCATTTTGTTGGTTATGTTTTTTTTTTTATTGTCATTTTAAATACTTGATGAAATTTAACACTTGTTTGTGTATTTCAAATATTTATATAATGGGGTGACATACACACAATCTACACATCGCGGTCGAGTAGATATATCAACAATATTGATTGGAAAACAAAAAATGTGGATTGATTTTGTTTCATTTTTTTTTCTTTTTTTCATTTTAATGCTGCCACATGAAATCACATAAAATACTACTTGTTTATACATTGGCATAAATTCATTTCAAACGTAACAAAATATTGTAAATTTTATTATATTCCTCAAACTCACAAACACACATATACACATATGTATATACATCGATGTGATTGTGTAAAATAAACCCCTTTTTCCGTGGAATCATTCCTTTTCATTGTAATATAAAATATTTTTGATGAAAAAATATTTACCATTATGGCCTGATGCCGCATAATTTATATTCATTTGGATTTTGATAGCAAAGCTGAAATAAAATATTTTTATTATATCATTTTGGTGAAATACTTATATACATAAATTGGTTACATTAATATGTTATGATATGAACTGATTGAATTGTTTACACACATAAATATAACAAAAATTCAACCGGGTATTTTAAAAATGGTGAGACTAAATTTTTAAAAATATAATAAAGAAAACAGAATATGAAAGTAATATACAGACAATTTTTTATTCAATTAATTTTTAATTAAATTTTTTAATGTAATCAAGAATTATTTTAAATAAATAAAAATTACAAATAAAAAATACTTAATTTAAAAAATAATATTTTTTGTACTACAACTAACTCAAAAAAACTAACTAACTAACTCAAAAAAAGTGAAAAAGACTAGTGACCATTCCCTTCACCGCCCTATATTTAAAAATATTTAATGAATTTTTCATTACATGGATAATTAAAATTATTAATAGAATAATATATTGAAAATAAAAAATAGTAAATTAAGAAAAAGATAAATAAAATTTAATAAATAAATAAATAATTAATAAAAGATTATAAAAAAGAAATACTAAAAATTAACGATAAAAATCCGCCGCCCTACATTTTAAAATATATAATGCATTTTTTGTTACACGGCTAGTTAAAATTATTAATTAAATAAAAATATTAGAATTCAAAGAAATCAATTAAATTTAATAAATAAATAGTTAATAAAAATATAAAAAGTAAATACTAAAAAAAAAACAATAATATAAAAATAATATATAAATAACATTAATAACCCAATAATAAATAAAACATAATTAATAAGAGATAACAATAAACAATATTTATTATAAATGATAATAATAATAATAATAATAATAATAATAATAATAATAATAATAATAATAATAATAATAATAATAATAATAATAATAATAATAAAAAAATTAAAATTTAATAAAAAAAATATTAAATTTTATTAAATAAATAAATATTTTTAAAGTAAATATTAAAAAGATAACAGTATAAAGTTACATATAAAAAATATTAATAACCAAATAATAAATAAATAAATAAAACATAATTTATTATAAATGATAAAAAAAATCATAATAAAACGTTACATTGAAATAAAAAATAATAAATTTCAAAAAAAAAAATTAAATTTTATAAATTTAATAAAAAATATTTTTTTTTTTTATAAAATTGTATAACGTAAATTTTCTTTTTCAATTTTTTACACGGATTATTAAATTAATAACAAAAAAAATAAAATGTCAGAAAAACAATTTAATTTAATAAATAAATTTTTAACAAAAACTGTATAAAAAGTAAATATAAAAAAATAATAACTTAATAATAAATAAAGCACAGTTAATAACAGATAACATAAAAAATAATGTACGATAAATCATAAAAAAATTATAATAATAACAATAAAATATTAAATTAACTTACTTATTTTTTTAAATTTTTTATTTCACGGATAATTAAAATTATAAATTAAAAAAAAAATACTGAAATTAAAAAAAATGGAAACTAAATACTAAAAAAATAATAAATAAAATATAATAATAATATATAATAAATAATAAATAAAACATAATTATTAACAGATAACATAAAAAATTATTTATTATAAATGATAATAAAAATAAATTGAGAATTAAGTAAAAAATATACAATTTCAAAAAATAATAAATTTTAATGAATTAATAATTAGTAAAAAATTAAAAAAATGTAAATATTAAAAACAAAATAATAATATTAATTATAATATAATAATAATAGTAATTA